CGTTTTTGCTGGCTGTAGCAGCGCTATGGCGCTGCTATAGCGCTGCACAGCAAAAACGCATAAAAAAGGCATATACATAACAAACTAACGAACAAATAACACAAAACACATAGGTTTCCAGAAAACCTTCCAATGATACAAAAACACATGAACACTCCCCTGATTAAATTTCGAAAAACTTGAAAAAGTTGACTTAACTTTTCACAACTTTGCTCGTACAAATGATTGCTATGCTTCTATTCCTCTACTCACTTCGAGTCACAACTTTCTTAATGAGTCTTAAGAGTTCACTTATTCAGCGAATTTCGTAATTTACCATCTTTTTCATATTCTTTCAGCATTAGGTAAGCATTTGTTGATATCGACTGTATTGGAATAATAATTTTTGTAGCGCCAAGCGCCAGCCAGGTTTCGATACCAAGCAGCAGAATGCGCCATTCCAAGAGGACATAAGCCGGCGCCATGCAAACTACCAATTTATGCCGCTTTGCACTTGACACTCTCTCCACCTCTAACTCCAATGATTCAGATACATTGCGCACCGTGCTTATCCTTAAATTTGCTAGCTTGTCAACTTTTTTTGAAATTAACAGTGATTTGAAATCGTGATTTAAAAAAGCATCCATAGGTCGAGCGGAGTTGTGAAAAACCCTTCTTTTGCATCTATTAAACTGTACAGTCTTGTCCGGCTTGCGAACCAGACACTGATGTGCGACCATTGCCGTTTAGGAGGAAGAGGGCAGCATTTTCCGCAATCTGATTGATTTAACTTTTCGCCGTTGGTGGTCAAATCACATTTTCTTTCTATTCTACGAAATACTGTTTCGAGGCAAATATTTAAAAGCCTGTGTGGCAAAAGATCAATCTACTTCACGAGCTCATGAAATGAAGCGCTAAAAAAAGATTAGTCAAATGGTTCTTGTTCAACTCCTTAATTATTATGATAATTCTCACCAATTTGTTTCTCTCCAAGAGTTTATACTGATGTCATGCATTAACAAAGGTTTTTTTTTTCATTCGCCAACGCTGCAAGCGAGGAAATGAGGCAAAAAGCAGATTTCTATTCCTTTACGTACTCAAGCATCTGCTTTGATACGAAAAAATGTCTGAGTGCTGGAAGTAAGACGCAGTATAATTAAAGAAAATTATCTAGGATATCAGAAGGGCGAATGTTGATAGGAAGAGAACATAGGTGTGACAAAAAATCAAAAGGCAACTATTTAACCTTTTTGAAAAGCAAGATATCAACCGTTTTTAAACGTTTTTGTATTGAATAAGAATGCAAAAACGCAATTAAACGGGATAAACGATCTGTTTTCTTTTATATTATTCTGAGGAACACATATTTCAACTCGGGAACTACAAAAGCTAGGGAGCTTAAATTTGGTGAACAAAGCTCCCAACCAAATTGCTTCAAAAGATTTTTTTGTGTCCAGACTGATTTTTGAACTAGTCTTAAATTTCGAGAATTTTTTATCGCTCTGCAAAAAAAGAACCGCATGCTGCGTAGAAAATGGCTTGCAACACGACACTCTGCAATGTGACCCGCCATCGAGCATACATCATTGACGGCCCGCTTTCCTTGATGTATCCTTTGTACATGAGCGCGTGACAAAAGCCACTGGCCCGTGCTGTCCATCGAAAAGCAGTACAAATGGTACGCTTTACGTGAGTCACCTAGAAATTGAAGAACCTGAAAAAAGCATTGGTGAATTGGTGCAAATTCCAAATGGATACTTCAATTTTTGCACAGGCTATATGATAAATTTTTATTTTTCTGATAATTGGTTACATTTTTTGCTTTTGTATAATATACATAATCAGTAAAAATCAGTCACAAGAATAACAAATAGTGGTGAATAAGTGATGGCTTATTTTACGATGGACTGTTAGCAAATATTTCTTGTCCAACTACAAGCTAGAAGTTTAGAAATGGGCTTTCAGGCCGTCGTGTTTCCTGATTTTTGACCCCGGGTACACATTTATTCAAATTTTCTAATTTAAAAAACTAAGACTTCGGGGGTAAAATTCCCGCTTTTTTATGAAACCACAGGCTTATAGTCAAGTCACATCTTTTTTCGTCCTCTAGTATAATCATTACGTTCCATTAAAGCAACTTTTTATCTATTGCATCTGTTGCAAAGGCTGAAAGCCGAAATATTATTCTTTAACTACAAAATATTCCAAAATGCTCTTCCGCCTTTCATCCCCTTTCTTCTTTAAGAAAAATGTTCGATAATTAAGGGCACACTCAAGGCAACTGGATCTAACTCTTACATCTACGAAAAAGAAATACCACGTAATTTCCACGGACATTCTGCTCAGTATGTACTCGATGAAAAGCACCGAAAAAGATAAGTCGCGATGGGTGCCATCTGGATAAAAACGCATCACCCATATTTTTTAACGTCCATAAATTGGTGGTGCGGTAGTATAAAGATAAACCACATAATAGAGCAGCCACAATGAAACAGCATCTGGAGAATACATATGCCAGGGATGGAGCATTGAAACGACGGCTCGGTAATTGCTTCTGGTACCAGTCCATCTGGGTATGCTGTATACAGTGGGTCGACATCTCAAAAATATCCATATCTGTAACTGCTTTTCACCCTAATTCATTTCCTTAGTTTTGAACTAGTTCATTTATCAGTTTTCAGAAATGTCCAGTACCTCGTCCAGCGCATTCGACTACATGTGTTAACAATTGCCAAAACTTTCTGAGCAAAGAAACTAACTAAAATTGCTAACTGGGAGCACAAAAACAAAGCAGAAGAAAGAAGTGGATGTCACTTTTACGCGACTGAATTGAGTGGTCCTCGAATTTTGGTTTGCTAACTTCCAAAATCCTGAAAAAGAATTACTCGAAAATACATGAGCTGAGTATAATTCAAACAACTTTGTGCCAGTCATTTTTTTTAAAAACGCAATAAAACGTAAATCTTTTTCCTCGGAGCTCACTATTAAAAACTTTTTATGCGTTTTTTGCAGTTATGCAATGCGGAAAATGCACATTGACGAGAGGTTGTCTGTGTGTGTGTCTGTGTCTGTGTGTGCACTGCGCGTCTGTACCGATTTTTCATCTCGAGACCCACAAAAGCTACAGGGCTGAAATTTTGGGGAC